ATTCCAAGTGAAGAATGAATACTAATTACACCGCGTAATTAAAGATATGATAGCAATGCTAAATGCATAATGATCCTGGCAAAACAATCACGCAAGCGCCACATATGATGTCGCAATTAGGCAAGGGAATGGCCATGTGATTAGCATACATAGAACTAACAAAGGATGTTTCCTGCAGCATTGTAGTCGTCTTGGAAATGCATAACTTTAGTCAGGCCAGAAGACTAACATATAGTTACCCATAAGAGCTCATACGGCTCAATATGTAGTAGAACATTACGTTCCAACGAATTGGAGTAAACGGAGAGCTACACGCGCATCAAAGATTGCTGGAAAATTGCCGTATACTGGAACTGAAGGAGCGCGGAATGCTTGTGGCCGGCGCAGATTTGGGCGTTACCGAGGCGAGTGTTTCTCGACATTTTTTTTTTCGAAACACCGGAATGTGACGGAGCGAATCAATCGTTTGCATCGTTTGTTAGGTTTTATTTCAGCTGAAGCTACGCGCCCTATAAGTGATGACGTCAGTACACTTTTAGTGAATTAAAAAGAACGGAGTTTTCTGACTTAACAGTGATTGATCTTTGTTTCTGGAACCGGCCCAAAAGCATCTTTTGTTATATATTTACCCCAGCCGGTCGGCCCCGCCGTTTGGTGACCTCTCCCTCCCCTCCCTCCGTCCCTCCCCTCCCCTCGGACGCGGCTAATGAGGTGGGGCAGTGCGGAGGAGTGCCGGAGGGGCAGGGGGCGGGGTCTCCGGTCCCCACCGGCGCACAGTAGGACGCCGAGGAGTGCCGCGGAGGGGCAGGGGGCGGGGTCACCGGTGCCGGCGGTCCCCACTGGCAGCCACTCCGCCCTCAGATGGATGGGGTTTTAATGGCGGGGTCAGCGGCCAGCCGTCACCTGACCGAACCGCCGCCGACATGCGAGTGATCCATTGCACATTGGTTTTGCATGCGGTTTCTATTAGGACATTTTGGAGGTATGCAGGCCATGGGAAGTGGGTTCGGGTCCGCATGTCGCGTTGGGGCAGTACCGACAAGGCACACGCTGGCAGAAAAGCTATTATAAGGATAAGATCAAATAAACCCTGGTTGGCTCAACGTGTTGACTCGTTTTGTTTTTGGCAGTACCTATATTGGGACATGACAGGCAATTGAGCTTCGCTAAGCGAAATTCATTTGAACCTGTGGTGTGTTTTTTACACAAATATTTATACGATGAGTTTGTGGTAGCAGCATGTCCACCTTATCGCAGATGTAACTACCCATAGATGTAATGATAACTACGTAAACTGCAGTGTCATGGCCTGCCTGCCTCTAGTCACGTCTGCGGAATTTGTAGTGCAATAACAATATGTTATTGGACTGCACACGACCACAAACTGCCGCAGCGTCCAATGCTAATTCCATTTGCTTTACTGCCGTATAGCCACATCGCTATTGTTACGGCAACAATACACTTATCACTGATATCGTAACCAGCAAGTTGATGCCAAAAGTCAAAACGAAAACATAACATTGCGTAGTATTATTGACAGAATGCATGAAGTCTTACAAATATACAAAATTGCTTTACAAGCGTGAAATCAATAGACGTTGCTTGTAACTATTTCAAAGAAGTACATATGATACAAGCCCACAACTGCATCCAGCAGCAGGGGATCGCGGAGGCTGTCTCGGTCGCGAGACCACGGTGTGTTGTGCTATCGGTGATTGGATGACGGTCAGGTGATCGGTCAAACAACAATGCAACTTTGTAATGTGTGGAGATGGTAGTTTGGATATGATAGATAGGTATATAGAAATCGGGAAAATGATCAAGAGCATTGCAGAAAAAGATGTATTATTACGGAAACACATTTCAAAATTTGCTAAATTTTGTATTGAAATTGATACATTTTTGTCCTGATATTGATCGTTTCATTCAATTTCTAAAAATGTAAAACACCCAGCTGCTGAGTCAGCCGCATGGATTGATTTGACTGACTAGTATTAAGCATCACAGCTGTCTCAGCTCCCACGAGCTAAATGGAGACTTAGCGCTTGTTTATCTGCACCTACAGGGAAGAACAAACAAAACATGTGTGCATTAATTGAACACTTCTCTAAGGCCTGAGACTGAGACGTCAAGCATAACTAATAACTTTCTGCAGCTCTGCCTGAGACAAGGGGACTAGACAAATGAAATCCAGCACATGCATCGTCATTGGCGTAAAATGACGTCATTGCCTCGTTTCTGGATTGCATAGTGTTCTCACAAAATCGTGCGGCTGCTCTGTCGCCAGGTTAAGTCACCCATGCTCTCCCGAGTGATTGCAGCTCAGCATAACGTTAGGCTAGCCCCAAGTATGCTAATGTCTGTAATATTTTTATGCTTGTAGACTAAATATGTTTTATTGTTATTCGGCTAGCTCGTTTCCGAATATTATTAAGTTGAAAGTACACGTTGTCTGGGCTAGCTATTGCAAAATGCTACTGCGATTCACGTGGTCAATCGTAAGTGACCCCAGAGCTTCCCACCACTACATTATTTGCCTTCTTCTCGGTATCTGCTGATCTGAAAAGTGTTTGTTATTCACATCTTAGCATCCGTATTGTATTCTAGAAGTAGCCTCCCACTTGGAGCGCCACTGATAAACTGCGGCACTGGACGACTCTCTCCGCCGTAAATTTGCGGTTAAGTGCCCAGAGATAAAGTTAGCTACACTATTTGTTGGCAACAGCGAGCCTCTGACGGAACAGAAAAATCGGAGCCGCCGATCAGCTGGTGGAAATATCCGCGTCCTTGACGGTGCTGCCGGCGAACTGTCCTTTGTGAGCTGGCGCTCGCTGAAGATGGATGGCTGTAAGCGTCGCCCTCAGCAGTCAAGCAGCGGCAGCAGATGAAATGTGAATAAATGAGAAGCCGGCCGAACGGCGGCCATCGTGAGCGCGCGACAAAAACGACCGAGAGCCCGCTGCTCCGGAGAGGGGATCGCCGGAGATCTGCCCTCAACTCTCCGGTCCTGTCAAAAGCATGAGCTATATCCGGTCTAAAGGAAGCGAGCAGAACAGCCCAACGGGAGGGAGCATTGGCGGACGTTATTTATTTTTCTGTGATACCGGTTGAATAAATAAGTCGTAGATGCTACCGAAAATTATTGTCAAATGATCATGTAAGGCCTTTGATCATTAATGGAATGTCTGAATGCCTAAACCTAAAGCTGTTAAGCTGCGAAAAATGGTCAATAAAATGATTGGATTGCACACGTCGGGCGGTGTGGTTTGGTTGAGTCGCTATCCGCTAGCTCACCCAAGCCTCCATCGCTTTTTACATACCCACGGTCAAGGGGGGGGGGCACGGTCGAAGGGTACAAGCCCCCGCCGCTGATTCGCTCCAAATTGAGCTACAGAGCTTTTCGGAAAAACAAGCGTGTGTTTCGTAACGAGACGCCACATCAGTCAATCAATGTTAAGGGCTTAGGTCAATTGATGACCTCTGGTTCAGTTCAAAGGCCGCGACGTAGGGGTCCGTTTTTTTTTTTGTAAATACTTATCTACACCGTAACTGTCGCAGAGCCGCAATGTTGTTACGATCGTGTTCGTCATGTTCAGATGCGTCCAGCAAAAACCTTTTTGTATGAAAAAGGTCAACTTTCGATGTTGAACTAAAGTCAAGGCTAGGTTAAAGTCTCTTCTAAGGTCAACCGACCACACCGTGGGGTTTCTGGGGTCCTGAATCCAAATATGTGGTTCAATTTTCACCTAAACGCCTTCCAAACTGTTCCTTGACCTTTACAAGGTCAATCCAGGTCAACAAGGACCGTCCTCGTTGGCGGCGGTGTGACCTCCCGTGTGCCCGGGGACTTCATCACGCCAGTAATGACTGAAATGCGGACAACTATACATCATGTTGTTGCTAATAATTCGTTGAGGAACACGGTCGTGAAAGTTTCATGTCGCTATCTTTCACAGATTCGCCAATATTGGCTTAGTAACTTGGAAAGTTGTAAGCTTTCCCTTGAAATTTGACCCTTGACCTGCCATAACTGGGCCAGATAATGACCTAGGGTCAAAAACAATACCACCAACTGCGAGTACTCGTTGAGAACAGTCGACTGGTCTATGTTGCGAAGCTCTACGACGCTTAGTTTTGAAACACCAGGGGGGGGGGGGTCGCATCAACTGCAGGCCGCGTTATGAAAAATGCCCTGCCAAGGCGAGGGTCAAGGTACAACTTTTGCTGGTTTGACCTTTTCCACTCCAATACAATATAGAAATATTGAATTTGATGTGGAAAGATGGTGGATTGGGCAAACTTAAGCGTATTTTATGTAATTGTTATATGTAATTGTTTATCAAGCAGCGCCTCTTGCATATTCTGCTTAACTTGACGTAATGTAAAGTTTCAATAAAATATCTAGGTCCCATATGGAGATAAGTCCATCGGTAATAGGTACATTTGTAACCTTGCATACTGCGCAGTGAACAGCGAAGAGCAATATGACTACCACGTCTCATCAGCGGACGTCGTGTTTATGCTCTTAGCTTGATGCTCCGTCGAGACTTGGCTTTTGCTTGTCTGGATGACTCTGGCATATGGGTCACTGATCACTTTCACTTTTAACATCAACAACATCCCTCCGAATTGATCAACTTTGCTCAGCGTCTGGCCCAAGAATCTGCCCATACTACCCAGTCTCCGTCCTGCTACGATTGGCTGAGCCTTTGATCTAATAATTTACCCATCCCCGCCCCGATCATCCACCATCTTCCACCCAGATTATCTGCCCAGCCTTCGACCCAAGCAAACCAAACCTCCGAACCGATCCGACCCAGCCTCCGTCTTGATCAGTCACCCATCCTCCGCTCCGATCATTTACCGAACCACCACTCCGATCATTTACCCAGCCTCCTCCCCATAATTTACGCAGCCTCCAACCCCTTTCAGCCAGACCTCCGACCCGATCTTTTAACCGAGAAACTTTCATTAACCCTTGCTGTCCATGCTCTACTCACCGGCCAGCAGACAGTACCAGCTGAGACAGGCGAGCTGTGCCCTCATTTTGTACCCAGCTCCGCCGACAAGGCGCTGCGTCGGGCCCTGCACGTCGGCGGAGGTAGCCGCGACCCTCGTCGAGGCCGGCGATCAACTGGTCGCGCTGCGTCGGCTGGCGGTCGGCAGCGTCCGCGCGCGCCGCTGCCAGCCGGGCCTCATCCCCCGCACGAGCGCCCTGGCCGTCCGCGCCGCGCCCGGCCCGCCCTGCCGCGACACCAGGCCTCAGCAATTGATTTTACGGCCGTGTCGACAGCGTTGGCCGACCGTCACTGACAGGGGAAGGGGCGAAGGGCCGCGCGCCACGCGCCTACACACAGACCGGCCCCTAGATGGTCCCTCGATACGGAAACACGGACAGATGAGCTGGATGCTGACTGGCAGACGACAGGAAATTGTTAGGCAACAAAGGGGATTACGTAGCTATAAGCACTTGTGCGCTCTATACGTCCATGCAGGAAGTGCGTAAGAAACATGCTGATACAAGTGTGCAATGTGCATCATTATGTAGCGTGTTTCTTGGCATGAGACTTCGCAATCTTTGAACATGTATTACTCCTAATAAAGATCCATGGAATCGGATCTTATATTCATTTTCTGTTCAGAAGTCAGAAGATCAGAAGTGTCAAAAGAAGATGAATAGAATCAGAAGAATGATCGAAAGATGATCAGAAGAAGTGCATATCTGTGAATAAGCAACGTTTTTTTCTGAAATCTTGTAACTACATAGGTTCTGGCTACATCTTGTCAGCCAGATTTGTCCGCTAAAGGCTCGATCAGAAAGCCGACTCCTCGCTCTTTCCCCAGTTGCTAGGCAACGTCTAGTGAATGTGGGTTGTCCTGCGACATTAACAATGAGTGTCATCGGCTTTTTCTCGTCACGGGAAGCATGTTCGTTTTTTCTGCATAGGTCCAGCACGATCAGGGACCGAACAGCTCGAAATTTCTCCGGTATTTTTTAAGCTTCTCCAGTACTTTTAGGGATTTCGATACAATTCCTCCGTTCCCCCTCCCCCTCCACACACACACACAGCAAAAGATACCCAGCCGGGATGACTTCTGGCTCTGTGTTCTGGGCAAACAACCCGATCAAGTTACCGCCGAGACTGCTTCTGCGAGATGTGTCCCTCTGTCCTTCAGGCTTGAGAAATGGTTACCTGAAGAGAACTCGGGGGAATTTCGATATTGCTTAACATTTGAGAGGAGGTCATGCATTTCGTATCCGCTACCTTGCGTCCGCTTGAAATGGAATACCAAGCGCAATTTCCGACAAGATTTAAATTCGATGAATATCACGAGTGGTCCACCGGGTGCACCCATTACGATTTCAGCATCAGTTGGAAAGGTGGAACCTTTCAGTTGGTGCCATACAGAAAGGTCGCTGCTGATTATTGATATACAATATACATACTAACTTATCATTGTAAAACGGGGATTCCTCATGGTGGTTATTCCTCATGATGAATTTGCTATTCCCAAATTTTTCTTGCTTAATTAAGTGTATGTAGTGTGCATTTGCGATAAGCATGGCATAATAATACAACTAGCTCTAGTTGATAATCATGCATTTTGAACAAAAATTGTCTTTTCGACCGAACCCCTATCCCATTCTCTCTCTCTCTCTCTCTCTCTCTCTCTCTCTCTCTCTCTCTCTCTCTCTCTCTCTCTCTCTCTCTCTCTCTCTCTCTCTCTCTCTCTCTCTCTCTCTTCCTCTCTCCTTCTCACTCCCTCGCTCTCTCCTCTATCCATCCCCTCGTATTCCTTAGTCGCCTCTGTGTCTCTCTATCGCTTCCCCCGCATACATCAGACCCCGTTCGGTTCTCCACTCGACGAGACGTAAGCGGCTATCGCAGCGGGACAATAGCTCAGTGATTACAGCAGCTGCGACTCAGGCGCCTCCCGAAGCTGGCGACTGATTAAAACAGCTATTAAGACATTATATTGGTTAGCGCCTGTGAATGGCCGGTTTGAGCGAACACATAGGCTGGTTGATTACTATGCGCCAGTGGATTTTGTCAGAGAGGCCGTAGAAAGCAGAGAGAAGCCGATACTACTGGGGCGCAGCGCCAGCTCAATTTTCGATCACATGGGTGTGATTTTGAAAGCAAATTTGTAAAAATATTAATATGAAGTTTTACACAAGGTGACATTTAGAAGAAAAATGTGAGGAATCTGCGTCTTGGCGAACGAAGCAAGAAGCTGCGTGGAGAGCACATTAGGATTGGTCGTCTCATCAGCGTACAGAATATTCATGGTCACGCTCGCGGCGCAAATCTACTCACAGGGACGTGTCCAGGAATCAGTCACTTCTGGGTGGCGACGAATAGAGGTTCGCACCATCCGACAGCGAGCCACTCCGGCGCCATTCACCAGGGCTGGCACGCAGACCGTATAAAGAAATAATCTGATTAGGCTGCGTTACTGGGGGACTGTATGAAATAGAATCTTACTTTTGGTATGATGTTTGAGAATTCTGTTACGCGGATGAAGATTACGCGGAGAATTGTGTAAGTGCTGCTGCACATTTTTTTGTAAGGAAGCCGTCCTTTAGCTGTCGAGAAGAACAAATCCATATTTTATGTTGTGGACAGTGGTAGCCTTACATAGATTGATTTTAGCATTCCAATGCTTACACATATTCATCAGTGGACCCAGAATGTTGGTAGGTACTGTTAGGTATTGCAGGGGTATCATATTCCCCTGAAACGGTTCACGGTTCCAAAAATCATTTGACTTTGTATACTTACGTGGTACTTTGATTCTTTTTGATAGAAGCAAGGGTTTGTTTACTGCGATCGTTATGTAAGAGAAATTAGGGCATGTCCCAAATGTTCCCATATACTCGTATCCGTTGGTGCCTACCAGTGCCTACGCTATGCCAACAGGCAACATGCTGACTTCTCATTCCAGCCAGCTTACAGCAATTGCAAAACACGGTCAGCGCTCAGCTGACAGCAATTTTATATTTTTTTTATTACTTTTAGTGCTATCGCATAATGGTACATATTTTATCTTTCGGTTTTTCTCAGACAGACGTCACTTGTACGCTGATAACTCACAGAAACAGTACCGCTTCGGTTTCGGGAATCCATTTCTGTTTTATTCTCCTCCAGTTGGTCTCTGTGCTAACTGAGCGGAACTCCAGGCCGTCTTAAATTTCCGAGGGTCTCCCGGCCTAAACGACAAACGGATTTCGTAGCGGCGGCCAGGGCATGGGAGCCAGCCGTCACACGTCATCGGCCGCGCTACGCCGCACAGCCGAGCGTCCGTAATCCCGAGAACGAGAGATGACGGACGGCCCGGCCCGCGGCCTGTTGACCCCGCTAAACCTTAGGAACCGCCAAATAAATTGTGGCCTTAGCGGCACAGACAGGTGGATTCGATTGCTACAAACTATGTCGGTTTTATGTCTACGATTTGACGCGAACGGCCAGATTGCATTCCAGTTCAAACTGCGGCTACCTGGCCGCTAGTCTGTGCCGCCTTACATCGGTGTTATGCGGTGCAGTCTACCTATCGCACCGTACAGCCGCCGCACCGCGAGACGGGTACCGCCGCCCCATCAGCTTCAATGGGCTCTGCTCTGTCTTGATATGTGAAGAGGAGATGCCGAGATAGCGTAATATTTATATGATACTTTGTAAGTAATGAATAACGTTCAGGTAATCTTGTAATACGTGTAACACATGCATGAATCTACGAGATCTAATAAGATATTTCACTCATATGGTTTGAAAAACAGAAAACAACCAGATCATTTAAACCTTGCCAAGAAAATGCGTGATTGTTCTGCGCTGCATTTCAATGCGAATTGGTGCAAAAGCGACGGTCACATCTCGGAATCAGCGCCGCTCATCCCGTCAGAGCCAAGACGCGATGTCAGCGCGATCAGAAACTTTTTGACGACGAATAAGCAATCTCCGAAACCGCGGGAAATCAGAATTCTTCACCGGATACTAGGGTGCATCAAACGCCCCACTTTTTCGAAAAATTTACGCGAACCCCCTGTCACCAAAATTTATTTGTTACGCATCCTAAATGTATCCTCCATGCCAAATTTCAAGAATTTCTGAGGCCATCTAGGGGGTCCGCATCGACCCTGAAGTTAACGAAATTTCATGAATTTAACCATTAATGGGGCTTACTTACAAATTATTTAAAATTAGTCTTAGGCCAAAATATCTTTTGGTATTGCTAATCATTGCAAGTGCTATCCTAAAACTGTCCACCAAATAAACCTGAAATGTATCTGACTTCACCTAGGAGTCTTAACCCGCGCCCCGCTGGGCTATTCAGCCATACGCGCCCTGCTGGGGGGGGGGGGCAGATTCTGCCCCCCCCCTGTCTAACTTCCGAACCGATGGTCGTAGAAAGACGGGGAAAACGGCAATCGAAAGCTCTCAACAAGGCGGATCTTAAGAGCCCAAATTTTTTTGCTTAAGTAGGTCAGAGGTCAGGTCAAGGTCAGGTCAAGGGTACAAAATGCAAGTTTCTACAGTATCGGCCTTGCACCGTAGTTGCCGAAGAATGGACTGAGACTGATTGCCCAAAACGTGTTCTTAGACTACCAAGACAATATTCGTTGCACACAATGTCATTCAAAGGTCAAGGTCAAGGTCAGGTCAGGTCAGGTCACCAAAAACAAAATATAGAAAAGGGCATGTGCGACACATGTTTTATGGGTCATTTTACTCATAGAATTCAATAGGCACACTCAATAAGTGATATGGACCACCTCTGGATGAATTTCAGGTCGAGGTCAGGTCAAGGTCAGGTCAAGTGAGGTCAAATTTTGAAGTTGGTTGTTAAGGCCTACAAAGGTGTCTATCTGATGCAGTTTTTCACGGCGAATCGAATGGTGCTATTTTTGTTTCCGTACGAGGTCTAGAACTTCCAAAAAAAAATCATTTTATTTTTTTTTTGTGTGTCATGACGTCATAAAATTTTGAATAACTCCCACATTTTTGAACCGATTCTTCTAAAAATTGGTATGTAGGTGCTCATAGACCAGTTCTCTGACATATATTCCGGTTTTTTCGATACACTCAAAATTTTGGATTTTATAATTATTTTCCCAAAAAAGTCAGTTTTTTGAAAACATTTGGGCCAAAATCCAAAATTTTCAAAAAACCGAGATAGCCATTTGATAGACAAAGTAGAATCACGTATAACCTTTTTTTGTTACGTCTTGATTCCTTTAAAAATGAAGATGTTAGCGGCGTTGGAAATTTTGC